CACCTTTGCTGAATCGGTCGTTCCGAACAGTGGATGTGCCTGGCATTGCGATCGCCATGTCACTTATGTCAGGGCGTAACCATGTCTCCGTTATCGCGATGAGGTCGCAGGTCTACGATCCTTGACGCAGCCTCGTTTCGGAAAGTTTACTCAGTAAGTCTTGAGCCTTGGTGTACATATAGGTAAGCTTCTCGCATGTCAAAAGCTGTTGAGTAGGAGCACGTGATTGATGTGGATTTGTGCCGACTGATGAGACGCCGGCACCTAATTGTTTTTTGGGTGAATTGCCTAGTCTCGAAATGAATCCAATCTGTTTTTGGTCTCACTTGCACCTGCAGTATTTAGTCCAACTACAGCCTTCTCCATACCTACGGGTCATAGAACAAAAGTTCCAAATTGCTGTTGTAGTTATATTGAGTCGCTCGTGGTGTCGTTTCTGCGAGCACAGCGAGTGGCTGCGGCACTCTAACTACTGTCTTCATTTGTGTTGTGTAATAACTGCAAGCTACATAGTAAGTTCACGGCCATCTGTTCCGATTGCACCGTTATTTTCAGTACCATCCGGCCACTGCCTCTGTAGGTTGGCGACAAGGGTAACCGTGTAATCGACTGAAGTATGACGTCACCCACACAGAGAGCTTCACAGATGTAACGCCATTCTTCCAGGTCATGAGCGTAGGCTTCTTCGTTGCTGATTGCCAGTAATTCGGGCACGCCATGAACGAAAATAATTCTTTTGTTACTCTCCGTGCGGCGGTCGTTTGAATTATTCTTGTCCCACTGGCGTTCACTCCATGGGACATCCGGAAATATGAGTATTCCATTGTTCAGTCCATAGGCGATTTGCCGACATGAGCCAAGTCTCGACATCAGTCATTGATCCCAATCTTACTCGCATTAGCCGGGACTCCCTATAATGATTCGAGATTGGATGTCAAGTGCTGCGCGTTACATTAGTCGGACTGGCTTGAACTCCGATTCTCTCACAAAGGAAATTCCATTGCATTAAATCATCCAGCAGTTTATCCTTTAAGGCGTTTGTCTTAAACTCAGGGAGGTTGGTGCACAAAAGTGTCAAGGCCCCGTAGTTCCGCATGGTCTTCGGTGATGTGCGCAGCGCAGTTATCGAGGGATTCAGTGACGTCTCTGCTCGTTGCACCTGGTCCTTCACCCGCTTTGTGACTGTACTGGGTGAGGCTACTAAGTCCGCACTTTGATCAGACCGAGCAGCAACGGGTGAGTATGTGGATCGGTCTTTAGAGCGCTTCGGACTTCGTTGGTCAATCGGAAAGGTGGGTGTTACCGATGTTGCATCAGTCGATACGTTGGATAAGAAAATGCAGGCTGCGGGTCTAGATATTCCTCTATCGGTCGCGAAGAGGACTGGGCTAGTGGTTCGCAAGGTTTCTAGTACAGCGTGGCCGTGTGAACGCCTGGCCCTTTTACTTGATTTCTAGGCAGAACGTGAAGGAAACAGATGAGGTGTAACTTGTAGTATTGTCGCCTCGAACGAAGGAACTTTTGCATTCAAATGATGTTCCTTTTCGGCAACTAGACTGTCATACTTTGTGTTAACTCTAATATGCATTTTACCAATGAAACCGTCGCACACTTTGGACAGAACCAACTTGAACCCAGCATATCGTATTTCTTTGTGTCGGTTCCGCAGACCTTGATGTACTTCGAATGATACCAGTCAATGTAGTTTGCACAAGTCACCCCTGTTTATGCTAACAGCACAGTTTTGATTAGCACCAATACTTCGTTTTGGGTTATCGCTATGATGGTCATGATGGTCGATTACCATAGAACGAATTCAAGATGGTGGACATAGACGGCAGTTGGGCCACTCAATGGGAACTCCGCAGTTAGTCACAGAACCTCCACCAAATGTGCATAGATTGAAAAATACACCAAAAGTAATATATTGGTGCACAATTTACACAGAACTATCACGTATAACAGTAATCCCGAAGTAAAAGTGGAATCCAGTACGCTAATCCAAAAACTGTTCTGATCAAGAGAACCAACATTGTCCGGGCACTATCTGCACTATAACAGTTTCACTCCAATGCGGTACAAGTGGACACTAGTCAGAACTTTGTATAACCGCGCTAAAAGGATGTGCATCCCTGATTTACTGAACGAAGAATTGGAGCCGTGGACTTGTGCCCATTTGAAAAGCGGTTGTCCGCACTGGTTTATTGCAGTACGCAATCAAACCACAGTGACGAGGTCCTGACAGTGGCTGAGAAAACTTTTTATCGAACTCTCATGTGACAGTGATTTTGCCACCCCAAGGACAGCAAAGTGAATCATTTACACTGTTCGTGGGACCTATTGTGCCGTTAATGCTGTCGTCATTAGCCGAATAAAACCTGCATTCTGTGAACAAAGCCAGCTGTTTATAACTCGCCTGGTCATTCACACAGTCCCAACGAGCACATCGGTATGGCAGACGAGTGGCCCACTTCTACAGGATACTTATAGTCCATATTCTTGTGGTTGCAACAGAAGCACCGAGCTTTGAGAAAAGCCAAAGATAGCCTCTACCCTCCGTTACACTTACAGCTTGGGCTCTCTGATTTCAATGAACAATGACTGTATATGGGTTAGGCAGCATTGTTTTACAAGCCCCGATAAGTGGTCCAGTGGGGTCGTCGAACAACTGAAATAATAATACTTTAATGACAGTTGAAAGGAGTTATCTTTGTTACATAGCACTAGTAGGTGAAAACTAACAAATAATGGCATTTGCCAGGATAGGACGGAGAAATTGTGCGGTAAAAAGTTGCTGCTTATGTTATTCTTCTTCCTCTTAAGTAAAGATATTGTCGGTACAGTAACTGTTGATTCGGCTAGACTGTTCCACAGGTAGCACACACGAATGGTCTCTTCCTGAATTCCACTCAACGAATCTTGTCCATCGGTCGAGTAGCTGTATTTAATGGGAGACGAATATAACGACACCAGTGATGACAACGACTGGTCATGGCCCAACCTTAACCGGTTTGGCTGCGGATGTCTGTGTGGCTCACTCCCACGACGGGTGGAGTGCCTCTTACTGTACATCGTGGACTAGAAAACTGCACGCCTCATCTCCAAATGACTTGCTTATGTTTTAAAATATGAATACATAATTATCGGGTATGGCCTACTATCTCGTACTTGCAGGCACTCGACGTAACAATTGATCTATCAATTCTTAGGTGCTGACCTCCGCCAAACAGTTCACCGATCAACCAGTCAGCCACTCAGGCAAGCGGAGTATCTATCTATCCATCAGTTTGTAAAACGCATTGTGACTGTTTCCCTCTCTGCTGGCCTTCACAAGCCATACACTTTTACGCTAGTTTGACTCCATTCTCAATCAATGCTTAACATCATTTTCGCTTTGATATTGATGACGATAATAGTAATAATATTGATGATAATAATACTGATAATAATAATGTATCTTTCTCACTGTGCCGGAATACTGTACCCACAATAAGAGAGGTGACGAATTTCTATTGAACTTGTAAATGGCCCTTTTCAGTCCCTGTGTGAAGATTTATCTGAAATAATTTCTTGGTCGTCTACGAGCTCCAAAGTAAGGGTTTTGTTGTTCCCCATAGTATTTTATTCTAACTGCCTGACTGAACTTGTTCCGTTTTCTTGTGAATCCCAAGAGCGTTATCAATACCATGCGTAAGCGCTTACTTCAGTGACAGCTACTTGTATTATTTTCCAACCTTTTGTTTGTAATGTTATATCAGTGCTATAGTAAAACGTTGAAAACATTTTTCTTTGACTTGACGAAATGAATGTATGATATATTTCTAGACTTCGCAAGTCACAGACGGATTACTGGGCCTGATTATTTTATATCTCATAATCGAACAGTGGAGAAAGTTGTGCGAGTTCTTCAATAGTTCTACTCGACTGTTAGGATTGATCTATCATTTAAAAGGTGTACAAGGCTGAGCGCTTGAGAGTAGGAATAAATGTGGGGATGGCCGAAGGTACAAGTAAAGTAATATAGTCATTCATGGAACCGTCTCCTGGGGACCTGTTTCCATGCCCGGTAATCCCTCTAGAGGGTTCATTCGCACGTTCAATAGTCATTTTAAAAAGTGGGTGATCCAGCCTGTAAGGCATAGGGGCATAGCAGCATACAATAATATGCTTTATTATGGTGTTGGAGTTCACAGATTATTGGTACATACCTGGATTAAGTCCCTACATCATTTGACAACTTGCCAACTAAGAGACATTTAGAAGGAGCCTGTGGGCGTATTCAACTCACATGATACTAACACGCTTTAACTTATTGTGTACCTATGGTTAAGTGTTACCTGTGTAACAGTGTAGCTCTGTTCAGAGTTAAGCTTCGCCTCCAAAACGCCCCGCCATTCGGTCCCACCATGCTTACACGGCGAGTGTGCGCGGATAACAGAATACATTGAAGACCAGCCGTAGCCATCTCTAATTGGGGGCAGTTTCCCACCAAGGCCGCGCTGTCGGTTATCGCTGATATCTTGAAGACAGGGACCTAATACATGAGCTGACTGGTGAGCTGCACCAGCGTAAGTAGATGATACGATTAGTTTTTGAACCCTCAGTCATACTGCATGACCGTCTGATCTTGTTAGAACACAAAATACTTTAACAAGCTGGTGCGGAACAAGCATCCCAAGACAGTCATTCGTGCAATGGCTACATTCCGACTCGCCTGATTCCAAGTATGCAAGTTAGGTTTAAAAGCAGGCAAATAGTCGTTACACCTCTGGTAGTACGCTGCTTTTCGTATCTGATTAGACTCCTCAATACTACACTTTACATTGAATACTTTGGCATCCGAATCCGTGACGGTTCAAGCGGGCCATTGGTCACGATGGTACTCAACGTGAGTTATCTACAAACTGGGACAATCAAGTCTCATCAACCACCGTCAAGCGAGATACTACCGCACCGAGAACAGCATTCAACACCAATAATAGCCTAACCGATTTAGAACAATGCAACTTGGCCGGCAACTTAGCGGAGAATCTGCAGCCTCAAAGGTTAGCGCTGTCCTGTGTATGATAGTAATGTAAGAGGCGAGGGACCGAGGGAAGCGTTAGCAGAAGGGAAGCTAGCAGAACACCCTGTCGTGGTCAACGAATGGGAACGAGGCATTCATCGAGGTCAGAGTGCTGTGTTTGAAATCCGATTCCGTTTTCGTCCGTCTGATTCATGGGTTTATCAATGCTAGCGTTCCACCTCAGTGGACGCGTATCGTGGACCCGCTATTCTCCCGTGTTTACTGAGTAACTCGTCTTAGGCACTTGACAGGAGACCAAAACATTAAAAACAAGAATAAGGGTATAATAAAGACTGAAAAGAAACAAAAGCTTAGCAAGTTCCGTGGGATGATCTGGGTGGAATACATATAATATCTACAGAAAGAAATCGAACTGATTGTGTGCCAACCGCCGGCGGGAAAGCACCGCGGCTATTGAGCGCAAGTAGATCCCTATTTATACAACAAACTGTCAGTTGCCGCTTTCAGGTCTGGCCGTTGGTTGGCGAGTTACAGCCACTGAAGTGAGTACGTGCACAAGCTGCTCGTCGGATTAGTGTCAAACAGACAATGAGAGAACTCGAGGGACAATGAGTGTGCTTGACGTTTCGATACAAATTAGGAAAAAACTTTACATACATTTACTTTGCTTGGCCAAGCGTGCAAGGAGAATTCCATTAGTCGCACGCGATGCAACAATTGGTTTATGGGATTTGAATTCGACAGAATGTCAGTCGGTGACGATCACAAGCTTCAACGACCTTTCACATCAACAGACCATGTTCATGTTGGCAGAGTTTGTGCTGTGGTCTGTGGAAATCGTCGTCTAACAGTTCAAGAAGTTGCTAACGAACTAGGCATAAACGTAGGATTCTGCCGTGAACTGTTGAATGACAAAGTTGTGATACCTTGTGTCCATACAAAATTCGTGTTGTGTTTGTTGGCTGATGGTCAGAAACAGAACCATGCTGACATGAGTCAGGGACAGCTTGACATTGCCACTGACAATCAAAGCTTCCTAAAGAATCTTACAGCAGGTGAGAAGACTTAAGTTTACGGCTACTATACTGAAACGGAGGCGCAATAGTCGCATTTGATGTGGAAAGGGTCACCTCTTCCATGAAGCACACATGAGTCGGTCATGGATCAAGGTGTCTTTGGTTGTGTTCTTTGACTGCAAAGGCATTGGCCAACAACTAGTGGGGCCAAGTGGTCGGAAGGTGAACAAGAAAGTCTACCAGGTAAATCTAGCGCGTTTCAGAGGTGCTGCGCTTAGGTAAAGGCCTGAACTAAGTAAAAAACAGACTTGGGTGTTGCATCATGACATTGCGTCGGCTAACGCATCGCTCCTTGTCCGCAGCTACCTAGAAGAACAACGAACACTCATTGTGCTCCATCCACCGTATTCTTCGGACCTAACCCTTGTGGACTTTTTCCTGTTTCCCAAAGTTAAAAGCACGTTGAAAGGACGTCGCTTCCAAACCATAAAGGTGATGCAGGATGTTGCGACAAGAGATCTATTCGCCATCCCAGAAGGCGCGTTCCAGGAGGTTTCCATAAATGAAAGCACATTTGGGAAAGGTCTATTTCAGGTAGAGGGGACCACATTGAGAGAGGTAGTGCTTACAGTATTGTACAACAAGCAATAAAGATATTATAAAATATGTTTAGTTTTTTAAAATACCACATAAGTTCCAAGATGGAATGTGCCATGTATGTAGGATGTCATTTTCGTCCCCGTTGAGCAGAAATAGAATTGCCCTTGACCATTCCAAAGCACGATTCAAGTCTCCTTGCAGGGCTTCATGATCATCCTGATTATTCATTGCTTGCCATATCTTGATGTCAACTACAAAAAGCAGGAAATTTGACTCGATTACATGTGCGAGGTCGTTAATGAAGATCAAGAATAAGCGTGACCCGAACTCTGAGCTTGTGGCTCACCGCAGTTCACCCCAGTAGGATCGGACAACGAGTTCCTTACCCGAGCCTGTAGCTACCGTTGAAGAACTTTCTGATCCAACTAAGGACAGGGTTCACGATTCCTTATATACAGCGTCTGGAGATGGATGCGATGAGGTAAGGGGTTGGACCAGCTGTTTCGGTCGAACTGCCGCGCGTTATCAGTAGATTGGTATCACGTAACCGATGTTCACACAAGCTGAGTTGCCCCGTCATTATGTAGCGGTAATCCAACGCCACTTTTTATTGACACTGCTTCGCCTATTATTGTCTGTTCCTACATCAAAAAATGAGCAACAGCATCAAATATACAACCTACTGAACGTTATCCCTTGTGTGCCCGGCTTCTTTGACGGAATAAAGTGGAAAAGCTGTGCCCGAAGAAACTCATGTTGTTTTTTCGTTATTCCCTTACTCGCTCAGTTTTAATAAACCGTAGCCTTACCAGTACAGCTTTTTTTGTGCAATCTGCTCATTGACTTTGTCCGTGTGCACGCCATTTTAGACTGCTCCCTTTACCGGTATTCGCTCGTGGTAATCTATCATCATTGTTCCCACTGAAAGACTGAATGTCATAGCGGAATATTCTTGTGTTCGTAGTACATACAACACATTTTGTCTAGGTTTCAATGACCCAGTCACGTAGTCAGTCTGTCCCATCCAGTACGCAGCGGTGTGTGTGTGTGTGTCACGGATTGTATACTGACTGAGCGCTGGTTTGAAGCACGTGGGACTCAAGCGATCCGTGTCTAACCGGTGAGTTTCAGTTGGGTGAAATGACGGCATTGCGCCTTTCTGAATGTGCACTGATTATCACAAACCTACTTGAAACGAATCGACTTTCTGGTTGACTTAATTCCCTGTTTCCACCTAGAAATTCTCCAGATTACACGACAATAGTAGGAGACTGTGAGTGTGAGGTGTTTTGGTCTGTCTGAACTTTCCTTTGAACCGCATACCTCATGCAACTCAATGAAATTTTAGTGTGTTTCCGAGGTTAAATCAGCTCTACCATAACTCCAGATATGAGGAGCGATTAAACCCTCATTCTCAACATGGGCTCGTCCCAGCAAATGACTGTTAACTATCGGTGTTTCGGCTGTCAGCAATCGATTCAATGACTTCACCAGTAGGGAAGTCACCTCTTCATCAATGTTCGTGAACCTCAGTCTGCGATTGCAAGATTAGTCGTGTTAGGCGCTGTGGCCGAGATCGCCGTGCCAACGCCGATCATCACGGCCTCATCTGACTGAACGGTTGACCCGAGAAATCTGCACGAGGAGTGTACCAGCTCAGAAACCAAGTTCCCAGGGCAGTCATAAATCCACATACTCGAGTGGTCACTGTACACACCCGATCGTCTCGCTTACTGTTTTGTTGAGCGATTACACCCACAGCTTCTCTTCTGTTGTTTATCGAGAGTAGCTTATATTTTGTATGCTCAAGCCATTTGCAGTACCTTTCATTATGCTTTTCGGTTATTGGAGCGAATCACTTCAACCTCGTCATTATTTTCCTGAGTTTTGGTGTTAAGAAAAATGCGACGGGACGATCGCCAAATCTCCATCATCCGATTTGCACTTTCGAACTTACGAATTAGCCCCACGTTTTGAGGGCTCCGATCCTCTTCTTGGTACATTGTATGGGGATATAGCGGTTAAGTACATATGAAATGGACGTGTATCTAATACGGCATACGCCTTGGAGTAGGTAGAACCAACACCTACCCCACATGTCCTTCATCTACCTCACCGAGTTGAACTTTGATGAACCCTAAGCTGTGGTTTGCCGTAATGCGGCACCCAACTTCGCGTCAACTAGCTGCAGATGCCAGCACCGTCCGCTGCAGTGACGGTGACTCAGTCCCAAATTGGCTAGATCCCCGCTGGCTGAGGGCTACGAGTAGTCTCGACAACCTGAATTAGCGCATCTTTGGCACGCTTTGTTCTGTGCAGGTACCGTTGTGCACCTGTCTGTCCGCAATGAACGAGTGGGTGGGGCGAACGTGTGACAGACATGTGGTTTAGACGCACGCTACCAGTGGCCGCCCAATGCTACGACGCAGCGACCGGTGTATCATGTGCGCGCGCGGTTCTACCTTAGCTCGCTGACTGTTTTGTCATCCATGAACAATACGGCAGTGGTCCGAGTGACGCGCATCCACTCTGACGGACTTAACTAAATGCGAACACTGGTACCACCCGACGATTCCGCTCGGATTACGGAACGACCATCGCGCCAGTTAAGGCGTACGCACTGAAGCATTTCCCAAGTACTAAGCTCTACGGTAAGTCGTATGGCCTTCTCTTTGGGACTACCGAATTGGTGCTTCTATAACTGTGATAATTATGGTAACACCCTCATAGCTTAAACCATATGGTGGCACGTTTGACACGACGCGCTACTGTGTTCAACATGAAGCCAAACATCTCAAATAATACACCAAGCGGCAGAGAAAGTGAGCTGCGGCTACTGGGGGCACGTAGAGGCCTGCTCAGACAATGATCGGCCATCTACCACGTTTCGCTCTAACCATTAGTTGGTGTGATCTCAGTAACCGCAGTGCGCCTCTCTGCCGAGTGGCGCGCTATTTTAACAATTCGGTTTCTTTTGAACACCGTAGTATTCGTATGGACTTATTGTTGCTTGCGCCTGTCAAGTGACCAACCAAGGCACAAGGTGGCGGTGCGCTTTACAAGGTAAACTGAGGTACCAGCAGCACGAATCCTCACACCGCGTTTTAGGCATGATGGGTGGCCGGGGTATTTGGGACTGCGTTGTGTGCATTTTCACCGAAATACGACGGGAATTAATCATCTAAAGAGAAACGTCTCACCGAAAACAGAAACTGAATGTACGTGTGCGAGTGCAGTCCGAGCACAGGGCCGAATATCTTTGGTCTTCCCAAGGTGTCAGAACTTAGATATACCACGTTCTCTAATCAGGGTCTGGAGAAATGAACTACTCGCTCTCTGTCATAACCCACAGGTTTATTCCCATTGTACACTTAGTGATTTGTTTGAGAAACTCGACTGGATGCCTATCTTGTCCACTTATTATCCAGCTGTAAGTGTTTGCGCCCTCCCAACCGGGTGATGCTGATAGGCTGAACACGAGTATTTAGCAACGTCACTAGTTCCGGCATTTTCTTTACACTTACCTAATGCTGTATGATCCCAGCTGTTACCATGGTTATACTGTGACTTACTGATGTAATTATTGTGGGTAGAGTTATGGTGACGATAGGGGTGAATTTGGTCAACTTATTTACCATAGTTTTCCCATTCAGTCATATCAATTTTAATTGATCGCTAGTACCTGGGCCGCAACCAGCTAGTCATTTTCTCGGCCGGTACATTTGCGTGTTCACCCACCTCATCGATGAGAGCAGTACTTTCATGTAGTATCAGTGCCTTATGTATATTAGATTTGTCATTATGAATATCATTATTTTTGCCATATGAAGTACATACATGTATATTACTTGCTTCTTTACATCTGAAAACTAGAAAAATTATGTAGGGATGCTTCTTAGAAGCATTTGTGGTTGAGAGGATGCGTTACTGTTTTTGTGAATATGTTGGATAAGCGACGGTTGTCACTAAGAAAATAACAAGACTTCGGCATCTGCTGTGACATAACAACTTCGGTTTCGGCGTTCCGGAATATACCCGAAAACTTGGAAGTGTGATTCAAGCTTTATGACCTACCCTAGACGCTTGAGGAGAAGTTACCGCGGAGATCAACATTGAACTTATATATTTCCTTCTATCACCTGTTGGATAAGTGGCTTGTCAACCGCCCGCGGATCGTCGGGGAAGCTGCCTCGAGCACAAATCTCGGGAGACCTAAGAATTGACCATCTCATCGAAGTAACTTGGTCGAACTGGACTTATGCTTTTTTCGTCAAGTGCGGTGTCAGTCTTTTTCGAATGTTCCGACGCAGGAGAACCTGTTCGTTATCTGTGAATTCGGACAAAACAACCGTTACTACCATGAAACAGGGACACCCTGTCTCGGTTTAACGAAGCATTGTACCCGGGATTAGACATTATTGACAACATGCCCGCCATGAAGGCCGTTGCTCTCAGACCTCTTTGTATGCAAGCTTGATAGCAACCAAATAAGCAAATGGACCAACACCTTGATACACTGTGGCCGGTAGGTAAACCAAATTCAATGAGTCACACAATGATGTAAGTTTTACTAAGGAGCGTTCTCAAAGATTCAGGTCAACAGTAGGAGCCATCCCACTCGGGAGCATACAGGAGGTCAACCCGAGACAAGCAATGCATTCATTTCGCCTTTTTCGTCCCATTAACTCCGAAGTGGACCTTTATCCACTGTCTAACGGGAAAAGCGAAGGGGGTCGGCAGGAAGGTCACACTTTCGGACAAGCTCAGTTATATTTAAAACGCGTTGCAGCTGAATTGGTATCCGGTGGAATTCGGCCGACATCACATGAAGTTGCGCATGCGCAGGATCAAATCTACTTTCAGAGAAAAGCGTTTACTCTGCCTGTGGTCATTCATTGTTCGACTTTGAAGTACTGGTTGTGCTAAATAACCTCAATTTGAACCACGGTTTACTCCTAACTGGACTTCAATCACGCCGATTACTGAAATCGTATTTGAAGTATACAAACGTTCGTACTTACCCACCGCTACACTCCGTGGACTGTTTCCTAAATTTTTTATTATTCAGTTGCAAATAGATAGGATAGAACTGGTGTTGGACACCGTCACTACGCCGTTAGCGTTGACCAAAAAGTTAGGATTTCCTTTTTTGATTCTAACTTACCGATTGTACGCAACCCCACCTTACAGAATTGCCACGGCAACGGAACCGTAGCTACTCATGACACTAGCACCCTACACAGGCGATTTACGAATGAGGTTCACATGAATACCGTTTTGATGCAACGCACAATCAGTAGTGTCTTTTTGTGTATGCAACTCCTCACGTTCTTACCCAGCAGACAACTGCCGGATAAAACTGGTGGTGTCTCCGAGATGGTTCTGGGGTATTCTGCTTGCTTGGTCGGTGTACAACAGTAGCTTCGGTCTGTCTGCCAGAGACTCGAATGTCCTACACGCTTGGTCGGAAGCTGACCACTGATGGTTGCATGGGTGGTGGCTGACCACAAAAAATCCGGACAGGAATCTATCCGACTCTTCTATCTGCTCTAAACGCAGTTCACTTTGACAGGCGGCAACGGTCACGCTACTCGCTCAACCGCGAACTTGATCAGATCAATCTCTCATGATGACTGTACAGCACGACCCATTTGCTGCTAGCAATTGAACTTGGTTCACCGGAAGGAGACTCTTCATGTAGCTTCTATGCGTTTGGAGAATCGGAGATGGCATTGCTCGTCCTGCACTTTTATGCACCGCACTGCATGACTGGAGACATGGTGGACTCCCAGTGGCACCACTTCCTTCGACAAAGCACCATCTAGCTCACGCGATTGATGGGCTTTAATGGAACGTCCTTTCTAATCTTATCCATCACGGTGTGTAAGCCTGATGTAGAACAGACGGTAACAAACTTTCCACCAGTTCCCCATCCTGACCCTTAAAATCGACAACGGAAAAACACATTCCTAAAGAGATTTTGATCGCTTTTCGTAGGTGATTCGTCACAGCCGTACTCGGGCAGAAATTCATTGCACATACGAAACGCAGCCGTCTCATCCTTTCAGGAATCGTCAACAGCGCGCATTCCATCTGTTCCCTGTGTGGTCAGAAACTACAACCTTATACTTTCGCGCCCGTGGTTAACACTACTGTGCCATCGGGGAAAAACGACAGGCGCTGTGACTCAGTAACACACTGTGAGATGGCACGTACACTCATCCCTCACTGTCACGCCCGTCTCCAACGTGCAGCGGACAAGAACACAATTTCCCTTGATGATCCACCGTCGCCCGATAGCACAAGATAGCTTGGGTGCCTACTTTGTTTTAGGGTGTAGAGGAGGGATGGGTTTGGCGTAACTTTCGGGGCAATTTCAATACAGGTGCACTCGGTCAGACATATAGCACACATCCGGAAAAGCACCAGCCTGCCGTTTCGCCATTTCGGAACAGCCACTGCCTCGAACTGCAGGGTCGTGTGTCCAAACCTCCCACTGCGCAGATTTGACGCACACGAATGCCGAGTCCCGAAAGGTTGAAACGGCCGCGTAGGGCTCTTTCTGATGCACGGTAGCTGTCTGACTGGAAGAACATTCACACTAAATTCTATTTATGCACTTGGATTATTTGTTTGTTGGGCAGCATGAAACTTATGTTCGCTTCACCCTGTGTCAGGATAGGTCTGAATGCAAATCCAGTTTAGATTAAGGGGCGAGTGCACGGGCAATTTTGACAGCCCACAGAGTTGGAGCGGTCACATCGAAGAAGCGGTTTTTGTCAAATCCAAGTTGATCTGAGCGTCCCAGAATGTGCTGTTCACAGTGACCCACGCTACTGTCTGTTACTGTGTTTTCTACCTACCTCAATCAGCGTTGATTTCTTAGCGGCACATTACCCGCAAATAGGTTGTCACTACCTCTATTATGTACCTTTGCTCAGCCATTTGCATCCATAGCGTTTTCAAATTCCTCCTTAAGAAATCGTGCCACTCCATTGATCTCCCACGAGGCTCGTTAACGCTTTCAAATTGCATCCGGCGGATGCAGACGTTCCTAAAATTGTGGACTGTTTGTTGAGTAACCAAGCACAAATCAGCCGATAGTACAAAAGATGAGTTCACATAGTTGGAAATGGTCACTCAGTGATCAGTAGCGTTTAGGGTTCTTCGCACTCTTTGGATAAAATTCGAAAGCGTTAAGGACTATCTTGAGAGATCTATGGAACAATATTATTTCCTTGAGGAAGGATTTGTGGGTGCTATGAATGAATTTGACTGCGAAAAGGAGTAGACTGGCCCGGAACCTGTGGATCGCTTATGGACCCTACGCATCTTGGCTGTATTGCCATCACGCATAAGCACAAATGAACAAATGAGGGAACTAAAACGATGCGCAGCCGACGAAAATCCACGTGTCTATATCTTCTAATTAATTAGCTGATTGCCAGCTAAATCTTAAGCCAGGCTTTTGCTGCTCAATCTTTAAAACCACGACTAACTAGGACGGCGCATGCCTGCTGCAAACTGTTACCCTTATCAGTAGTTAGGTGAACCGACGGATGCTATTCTTATTGCCCTTCTTTTGCAAGACGATTCCTCAGATCATAATAAGTCTCTTGTCTCCGTCGCACTTAATTTCTTCAACATCTGC